TTGTAGGCGGCCTCTTCCTAGGCGTCAGTCACCGTGCAGGGTCATTAGCAAAGCTTACAGGTCCAGTTGTTGGCCGAGCAGAATAGGAACCTTTTCCTTTGGTTTGTCCTTTGGTGACCTGAGCTTCAGGAGTTACCTCGCAGTGCAGATTCTTGTCGTGTCCCAAGGGAAGAGTTAGTGTGTATCCCTGTGCCCGATACGTTCCCTGGCTTGAACAGGTAACCACAGATGGGAAGCCTTACAGAAGACTCTCTCAGTCAGGAGAAAACCAACAGTGGTGAAGTCAGGTACTTTAAAAAGCTGTGATCATTGCTGGGATAAAGCCTCCCTCTGGCTACAGCCCAGGAGTTCTTTACCTGGAGTTGGCCAAGTGCCATGTCTCAATGTCTTTGAGGTTCCTGTGTGCCTTGTGATCATTTGCTGTGTACCCTGTAGGATCAGATCCCTGGAAGAATTGTGTATAACTTCTCCTGTAGCAGGAGTAACTTGCCCGTGGTGTTCTGTGAGAATACTTCATGTTCGCAGTTGGAGTGGTGACAACTTTGTGTGTGGTGCATGCATCGCTCCAGTGGGGCAGGTGAAGCTGTGCTCTGCGCTGTGGTCCGTGTCACTGTTGGGTATGGCTGCGGTGGCACAATCTAGCTGGGGTTAAGGATTGGGATCTCAGCTGTCTGCTCTTTGTTTTTCCTGGTTTGTTTTAATGTCCTGTGGTACCTTCTGTTTCTGACAGTGGATAAGGAGTGCTTTTTGTTGCCTTTTTTTGTATGTGTGAGTTTAATGGGAAGCAGGAGCAGCGACTGGCTTGTCCCTGGGTCGCTGACCCTCTCAGCCAGTGTACCACAGGCTGTTGTGCCAGCATGGAACAGTAAATTGTCACAGTTTTTCCCCAAAGCACTGTACATTTCTGCCCATGTAATAGCAGTGCAGTGGTCACAGCAGCTGCTGTAGAAAGGCTTCTGTGGATAAGTTATTTGCACGTGATTCTCTTCACACCCACAGAGTACTGCAAATGGTAGAGTTGGTTTTCTGCCTTTTGCAAGATTTGGGGAAAAAAACAACCAAGCAAACAAAACCCCACCTACCCCCATTGAAACGAGGAGTGAGGGTCTGTTTCATCAGATGCTTAGCAAGTGGGGGTTGGATTCTTTATTTTGGAGATGCAGAATGAATTACAAAGGCAATACAATACTATTATGTCTGTTTTTTTCCCAGGTGCTCGGATCACTATGATGACAGCCACAAGGAATGTGATGAGAGCTGTCAGAGTTTTTGAGTTTGGTGGCCCGGAAGTGCTTAAGCTCCAGTCAGATGTCCTAATTCCTGATCCAAAAGAAAATCAGGTAATAAGAGTTCTGTGAGCTGAAACAATGGTACTGAATGATAATGGGTACACTCAGAAGAGAATGAACAACACACAACTTTTCATCTTGAATATGTAGGGTTTGATGAGTGTATTTGTACTACCTAAGACATCACATTTAACAAATGTGCAGTTTTGCTGCTATATGGGCTACATATTCCATATAAAGGATTTCCTGAAAATAGCCTCAGTTCAGCACTGGATCTTTGCTGACTCTGTGAAGAATTTTCTTAAAATGCCCTGATTCTACGCTGTGAATTAAGGTCCTGAATCCTTTCAATGATTGCTCAAGAAGCATCTTTTCTTTCAGGTGTTAATTAAAGTCCATGCCTGTGGGGTAAATCCTGTTGAGACATATATTCGTTCTGGAAATTATGCCAGGAAACCAGCTCTGCCCTATACTCCTGGCTCAGATGTGGCTGGGGTGGTGGAAGGTGTTGGGGAACATGTGACTGCATTCAAGGTATATACCAATCAGGGTTTAACTCCCTGTTGTTTACTGTATCATCTTGGTGTGATTGTTCCTGTTTTATGTGTATGATCATGTAATCTACTGAGGGGGGAAATCGTGGGCTGGTAAAAGCGAGCAGCGAGGCCATGCTGGCAGTCCAGCCTGCAGGGGGAACGGGAGGGAAGTCTGGAACACTGTGACCCCCCCGGAAGAGCCGTGGCTCTGCAGTTTGTCTGCTGGCAGCAATCATGTCAGGTGCACAAAAGTTGTGGTTCAGAACTGGTTTATGGCATTGCTGAAGTTCACATTTTCATTGTCCTGTAAAATGGAGGAGGCCAATGAATGGGAAATGTTTAAAACACTTCAATTTGTTATCCTGGTGGAACCCAGGACTGTAATCCTGATGATGCCTGTATTTTCTTGTTGAGTATGCTTGTGCTTGAGGTAATGACTTCATATGGAACTGAAACCTTTTCTGCAAAGCTCTTTGGGAAATGGAAATAGCTTTTATTTTACTGACTTCCAAAGCCCCATAAATTCCACATTTGTTGTTAAAACTGTTCAAATACTTTATTAATCCAGTCTAGTAATTTTCCATAGGTTTTCTCAGGTGGAAAGCCTTGGGACAAGAGAAGGCAATTATCAGTTTGCTAAAAGATATCTGTGAAATGTATTTGGTTTTTAACTCTGGTTTACCTTTCAAGTCACTAGACCGGTGGTCTTGAGCAAACATAAGAATTGTAGTTAAAACTGTGTTGGAATCTCCGGACTTGGAATTTATGTAACTGTTTGGGGAGAGATGAGGGGTTCGGTTGTCTTCAGAGAAGAATCATGTTTATTCATCCTTTCTTACCAGTGTCTGCTGTATCTGCTGTGTGTGCTTTGTGTTTCTTATGGCAATGGTGCTGCTCTTTGCTCGAGCGCGGGTGGGCTGATGAGATCAGTGTGTGCCCCAGTCAGACCCCCTGGAGACGCTGATGGACACACTCACTCTGCGCGTGCTCCCAACGCTTGGGAGCCGCTGAGCTCCGGGGACCCCTCTGCAGTCAGTTAATAAACACCCAGTGTCCGCAAACCAAACCCACACCCTCCACATGCTGCCTATCACCGAGATCAACGTCCAAACAGGAGAGAAATCGGAGCTCGGGGGGAGAAACACTGACGTGAGAGCAGCAGCAATACTGAGTTTCCTCAGAGTGTATTAAGGGTGTACCTTTCTTGCCACGTTTAAACAAAAACAATTGAGAAATGACTCTTTTATGTTTGTAAAAGCTTTCGAGATTTTGCGTTTGGCGTCTGTGGGTGGAATTCTTTAATGTTCAACTTCATTAAGGTTCACATTAATAAGACAGTAGGTTTGTGTGTTACACTGTAGAGTGGGTTATAATTATGATGCTTAAATATAAGTATATGAAATGATATGGTTTGTGGTGCATTGATTGTAGGTATCAACACTTCTAAAAATCTTCTCCGTGACAAATGTAACTGGTTATTTTTAATAGGGGAGCTGTTAGAAATAGCCTGAAATTCTGTGAACGGGTTCTTAATGTATATCAAGGAAAAAGTAAGAGAAGTGATTGATTTCTGTATTTTCTTTCCTTGTTTCTAGAAAGGTGACAGGGTTTTTACCATCGCTACGGTCTCGGGAGGATACGCAGACTATGCGGTTGCTGCAGCTAATAAAGTCTTTCCTTTGTCGGATAAACTGGACTTCAGGCAAGGGGCAGCGATTGGAGTACCCTACTTCACTGCTTACCGTGCTCTTTTCCAAAAGTAAGGTGTCAGATCTACTTTTGTGCGTTATACTTTTGAGTGTTTAAAATCTTGAAATTCATATTTTCACTGTCCCGTGAAATGGGGGAGATCAATGAGTGGAAGATGTTTAAAACACCAGTTCCATTTGTTATGTCAGGTAACTGTTACCTAGAATCTGTATTTTCCTGGTTTTAGTATCTCTTCTTAAGAGAACGGACCTGGAAAGGCTTCTCTGGTAAGTACCATGTAACAAAAGGTGTAACTCTTCCAGTGCTCATCAGTATTTTAGCTAGGGAAGATAAAGAGGAACAGTTCTAATTTCTTAATTAAATACTGTGCTGTAGGGCAGAGCCACATCTGCCCTTCACCAGAGACTCTACACAGCCTGGGCTGTTGCCCTAGACTAATATAAGGAGTAAAAGTCTTATGTGTCTGCTTGGTGAGAGCTTAGGACTGGAAACCTGGTTTGGTTTGACAGAACAGATGATTAGAACTAGTGGGGTTTGGTTTAAGATCTGTAGCAGGTGAAGCTCTTGTACTGATGTTCAGCACCAGCCTGTTCCCTGCATGTTGACATTATTACCTAAATTCATAAGTGATGCAGCTTATTTTTTCCAAAAGAGGCTGATGATACCTGTTTAGGCATAACATATATTGGAAATAATGCTGTGTGAAAGGTTAGATTTGATGTCGGAACGTGCACTCTGATAATACTAGTCCCATGATGCAATCACAATGGCAATATTTTCTCTTTTCCATGCAGAGGCTGTGCCAAAGCAGGGGAAAGTGTGCTAGTGCATGGTGCGAGTGGGGGAGTAAGTATTTTGAGAAGGCAAGTTACAAGAAATGCTGCTTTCTCTCCTGAATCTGCTTTTGCCTGTGCTACCTGTGGTCACATTTATATGAACAAATGGATTATCAAAATCAGGATTTTATACTCTAGATGCATTTTTCTTAGAGCAGGCCCTGTTATTCCAAAAGAGTATGAAAGTGCAGGAGTGGTTGTGGAAGGTCCCTGGCGCAGAGGGCGCACAGGAAGCACTTAGCTGCAGTTGGAAGTTGGTCTGGAAGCTTCATAAGCAGCCGTGCTCAGGTGAAATGAAGCAGCAGGAACTATGATGTTAACAGCTGTGCACGTTTCAGGTTTCCTGTGCAATGTGTAATGCTGGTATCGTAGCAGGTGGTTCCTTGGCTTTGTATCAGATGTATGTGGCTCAGCTGTAACAGACAGCGTTGCACATGGATTTATAGCAAATGCTGATAGCTACTAAGAACCCTCAGAATTTTGCTATACCTCTGTAAATATGTATTTTTTTTTTTTTTTAAAGACTATTTTTAGTATCCAAATCACTTACTAAGGCTAAAAAACTGTTACTAGGCCAACTTCTTAAAGGGGTAAGTTCCAAGTTGCTGGTAGAATCTGTAAAACTTAATATGCTAAGAAAAGAAGACTGATTTTTTTAAAAATGATTTTCTCTTTTCCCCTCCCTCAGGTAGGCATAGCAGCATGTCAGATTGCCAGAGCTTGTGGCTTAAAGGTTTTGGGTACAGCAGGAACCGAGGAAGGCATGAACACGGTCCTGAGAAATGGTGCTCACCAGGCATTTAATCACAGAGAGGCTAATTACATTGATAAAATTAAGGTAAGCCTGTACCATGGCTAGGTGGTGAAGTGTGTGTGTTTGTAACTAACAAAATGTGAACACTTGCTGGCAGAAGTTTTTTAAAGTAGATCTATGTGGGAGCAATCGTGTGCTGCTGCCTTCATTTCTGCGCAACTTTTCCAGGCTGGAAGAGCTGAGCTTTCTTCACAGGCAGTGGCATTCAGAAACTTGCATTCCAGCACATTCCAGTGTGGTGGAATGTCATGATTCAGCATACCAAGAGGTGCTGAAATTAAACTTAGCTGTCAGCGTTAGTACAAAGGCTGTATTCACAATTCAAACACTAACCCATCAAGTGTGTTAACTATGGCACACAAGATAAACAGTGGCACCCAGCACTATCTGGAGTGATTTAAATAACGTCTGATGTCCTGCAGGAGTACACAGGGATGGAAGGAGTTGATATAATAATAGAAATGCTCTCCAATGTCAATCTTGCTGCTGACCTGCAACTGCTGAACTACAGAGGAAGGGTGATGGTGAGTGGGTTTTGTCCCTGACTTCAGTTTGTGCATCGCAGTTCAGCAGTTACGACTTGAACCATCTTTTAACTCGTTTGTAACAGGTTGTGGGCTGCAGAGGTTCCATTGAGATAAATCCAAGAGACACTATGAGTAAGGAATCCAGCATAATTGGAGTTAGCCTCTTCCTTGCAACCGAGGTAAGAAACGCTTTTATTTTACAGCATGTTTTGTTGGCTTATTCCAACACCTGCTTCCAGTTAAATCGTGTGTAGGGATGAAAGCAGAGTCACTGTAACTGGTTTGTTCATTCCTTTACATCTAGATTTAATCTCAGAACATCACAAAATACTTCTGGGTTGTGAAATGTGGTTTAACACTTGCATAAATTGTCAGTACTTTCCTGAAAAGTGAAGACCTTCTGGTAAATGCTGTTCTGTTGCACACAGGAGGAGAAGCATGAATGTGCAACAGCACTCCTTGATGGCATAGAAGCTGGCTGGCTGAAACCTACTGTGGGCTCTGAATATCCACTGGAGAAAGTGGCGAAGGCCCATGAAGACATTATTCATGGTGGTGGTGCTCAGGGGAAGATGGTGCTCGTTCCATAGAGTCTTTTATCCAGTTATGTTGTAGCTTTTCCAGCTGCACCTTTGCTTTCCTGATTCATTGACTGTATGTTCAAAACATACTTTTGCTCAGGTTTGCCAGTAACAGCAAATGCTAACTTACATTAATGACATCAACAATCAGTCTATTTTCTTCTTGTAATAAGCAGAGTTTCCGATACTTTAATTTTTGTAGATTTTTTTGGCTGATGTGGAAATAATGGACTTCCTCTGCTGGTGTGGCCTGGTGGTGCAGGGGAACCTCACACTAAAGCAGGATTTGATATCCTGCTCTGTGTGGATCAAGCAGATAAACGAATGTACGTAATTAACTCTGTGTGTATAACTGCGACTCTGAAAATTCCTTAGCCACAAAATTTGTCTTACTTATTTTTTGTCACATAATTTACTGCCAAAATAGTTCACTTTCCAGCTTGAAAGATGAGCAAAGAACCTCTCAAATATGAACTCTTTGGAAGCAGAGGCAGTTTCATGTTGCTGCACCTGGCTTCGTATCTGAGGTCAAAGTGCCCCAGGTAACCCAAAGGGATGGTGACTCTGGAGCTGCACTGTGCAGGAGCTGCACTCTTCAGGAGCTGCACTCTGCAGGAGCTGCACTCTGCAGGAGCTGCCCAGCCCTGATGAACGGCTGCGTAGCAGGATTTCAATTCTGCCTGTGACTTCTGTCAAATTTAAAGTCCCCTGAATCCCTGGCTACAGTGGTGAGACAGGGACTGCTCTGGGTGCTGAGAAGTCGTGTTAGTTCATAAACAAACTGATTAGGGGCAATTTCTTTGCTATGTTGACAGTTCTTACCTAAGAGCTCATCTCAGTCTCCCCTCTGGCAGGTTTGAGCCATTCCCCTTGTCCTGTCCCTACATCCCTTGTCCAAAGCCTCTCTCCAGGTTTCCTGGAGCCCCTTTAGGCACTGGAGCTGCTCTAAGGGGTCCCCTTCAGGAGCCATCTCTCCTCCAGGCTGAACCAGCCCAGCTCTCTCAGCCTGGCTCCAGAGCAGAGGTGGCTGTTGAGTATATCAGCTTTTTCCATGTCGGTTGTCACCAGCTCTCCTGTCCTATTTACAGGTGGTGGTACATTGTCTTTAATCTTCCTTCTCTAGCCAGCATATCTGTAAAGGCTCTTGCCATTCTTTGCATCCCTCTCCAAATTCAGCTCCAGCTGTGCCTTAGCTTTTCTAATCCATCCCTACACATCTGGGCAGCATCGCTAGGTTCTTCCCTGGAGCTGTTCTTTGCCTGGTTTGATGTTGTTATTTTCTGATTGGAGAGAATGTGAGATAAATAATAAACATTGGTTTGTTTTTTTTTTTTTTTTTAAATTAATAACTGAGTGCAGATATTGATCTTTTCCTATGTTTTAAAATAAATTCTGATGCTCGTGCTCACTCTCGGGTTTGCAGTTGATAGGAAAGGCTGATGTCAGACCTGTTTCTGGCTTCTGTCCTTCTATTACACCTAGATCAATGTTTTGATTTTATTAAAGGCATTAGCAAGGTCTCATAAGGTTTCATCACTTCTTTAAGCTGGGAACTGAGGCTCAGGCCCAGGACAGGTGATGTCCTGGAGACAAATATTGTTGTGCAAATTATAGTGTGTGTGGGAGAAAATGAGTGTGGATTTCAAGAGTATGAAATTGTGAGCAATAACCGGGCATGTATGACAAGAGAGGAAAGGAGGACTTTACAGTGGGGCTTGTGAAATGATTCAGTTCATACTTAGAATGAAAGAGCAAGGTCTTGGTGTTGAATAGGGAAGCAATGTTTTTCTAGTGCAAGGTTGAGTAACGTATGGTCCCTGTGGCAGTGCATCTCCTGCATTTGAAATAAACTTCCTGGGAGGCCACACTGAATTCTAGGTTCAGGTTTGCAACATCAGGCTCTTTCAGGGATGGGAAGGTCTCTCTTGATGCCACGTTCATTTCGTCTGGGACTGCTGCTCAGGCAGTAACTGAAACTTACAGGTAAACCTTTTTTTTAATATAACATAGATACACATTTTACAAAGATAGATAGATATAGAGAGATACTTTTCCTGATTATATATATATACACACACATTTTTTTCCATTGCTACTAATCCTCTACAATCTCAGTATTTGTATTTCTGCTGGGGGTGGATGGTGTTGAGATACTAAGCTTTTATTCTCATTACTGATCACAGGACTGTGTAGGACAGAGGAATATGCTGGATCACTGAGCTAAGCCCTCATTCCTTCCAAGCAGTTTATCTACTAACTTCTTAGGCTCCATCTTCTAAAGGAGGTGTTTGTTCTGTGCACATGTACATGTGAGGTCATTTTGCTGTTATACCGAGTCATTTAATTGTTTTTTGTTCTTACAAACCTTAAAACCATGGCACCAAACGGACTGCTTTGCCAGGGAAGAAGACTGAGTGTTTCTGGAGTCTGTGATCTCAAACTGGTGTTTCAGTAAGAACAGTTGCTGGGGTGGAGAAAAGCAGGACAAGGCATGCTTGGGGGTGGCACCGGGGCAGGGGATCCCTCATCCTGCATCCCTCCAGGCTGTGTGATGCCCCAGCGGGGGGCAGCTGGTGTCCTTGTAGCCGCCCTTTCTGTAGGAGCAGGGAGCTGCGTTCCTGTGGAAGGCTCAGGAGTGGTTCACCTGGAGCAAGGATGTGGGTCAGGGGCATCTTGGCTGGTGGTGCCGGGGGAGGTGTGGTTTTTCCCGTTTGCTTAGGCAGAACGTGGGCTGAGGCAGGGGTGGTGGGGAGAGCATCGGCCCTTCCGATTGGGAATGCTGTGAGGAAAAGCAGAATAACTTCTAATATGAACGAGGTTCAAAACTGCAGGTTGAGAGCAGTGGTTAACAGTGGGTATGGTCACGGAGATGATGTGCATATGGAAGTATACATCTTCCTTATACTTTGTGTGCCTTAAAGTATTTGATGATTTGAGCTTGGCCTTTGGTCAGGGGTATTGTACGGGTGAGAGGCTTACGATGCTCCTTTCCTATGCCTTGTGGCTGATCAGCGGCGGAACGCAGAGCAGCTTGTCTGTGCACCGGGGGTGTTTGTTACCAGCAGGTGTCGGAGTCGTTCTTCTGGTTTTATTGCATCGCAGCTCTCCTCCAGCGGCGACCAGGGGGGTAAGGCGGCGGGGCCGGGCCGCCTTGTGAGGTGCGACATTCCGTGTCCACCTTCGATGTTCATGTACGCGGAAGGGGTTGTTTAGTAGAAGCAGGGTGAATAAGACCAGCGCTGGACACGCGGGGCAGGAGGGGCGGGGGGCCGCGCGGCCGGTACT